AAAAAAAAAAAAAAAACAGAGTTGTCTGATCTTGCATTTAAGCCACCAGATATTTGCAGGGGAAAATAAACAACTAGTTTAATCTTGGCCCTCTTTTGAACATGTTGGAACAGTGATCTGCTTGTCGCTGGCTTGCTTTCCTTCCTGTTCGCTTGCCAGATTCTGGGTAAAATCACGTAATTTAAAACTTATGAATAACCATAAGAGATATATTGCACAAATAGCTTACCCAAGATCAGAGAGCTCTTTTTTGCATGTTAATTTATTAGAAATATTTGACATGTTCAATTGGCTCTTAATCTTAGACCAGAATATTTTTAATTGGGAGAACTCAGAAAAAATCCTGGTTAAAAAAGAATAGTACCAATTATTCTTTGTTTTTCTGTTCAAATGTGAAAATATTACAACCCAGTCATACAGCTACTGTCTTTTGTCTGTGAATTTCAGAGTGTCTTTCTTTGATAAATATTTGTACGAGAAAAATGCCATCCTAGTGGCTCTTATTTCAAGCATTGTTTTAAATACCTGCAGCTACTAAAAGGTTAAAAAGATTATACTTTAGTTATTCATTCACTGAATATTTTGATTAAAATTTATGATTTCAAGTAATCTTCAACTAAAATATACAATGTTGTTTTAAAATATCTAATACCACATTGGGTTTTTAAGGTGAGTTATATATAGATTTTTAAATTTTTAAAATACAACTGACAATGGACATTTGAAGAAAATGATATAATATCAAGCAGAAATTACTTTTGTTTTCTTCAAAAGCTACATAGATAAAATTTTGTAATTCATTACATTTAGTCTGGGTGTGTGTGTATACATATGTGTATATATGTGTTTGTGTGTGCATGTATATAAATGTAAATTTTGATAGTTACAGCTTCTATTGCAATTGTTTATTAAAATGTAATTGTAAATTATGTCCATGCTTCAAAATCAATTTCAAGTACTCTTCTTTTTCTCCATTCATTTTTAAATTTATTAAAGGCTTTTAAAAAAAATCATGATACTGTGCCTGACCAAAATTTCTCTTCAATATTAACTTTATAGTAGCATTCAGAGTAATGTTTGATATTTAACCTTTGACAGAATGAACTTCTGACGGCTTCAGTCTGATTTCATAAACTGGGTATGCACCTTATATCAGGTATTAAGTATGTTCTTATTTAAAGTATGGTATAACAGAGTGAAAAAGCTTAGCATCTCTGCCTTCCTATTATCTCTGTCTCCTTTGCTGCCTTGATCTTTTAGTCAAAAAGCATCTGCTCAGCCCTGCATCCCTGTATACAGACTTGTTAATCATCAAAAGGAATTTTGCTCATAACTTAATATGGTGCAACCAACTGCTTACCCAAAAGTGCCTCCCCAAAAGAGGTAAAAAAGTATGTACAAAAAAGATGACTAGATTGTCAAGGATTTATAGGACACCATGGCCAGACCCATGTCAGTAAAATGATTGGAGTCAACTGACCAAGGACAAGGAGTTTCGCAGAACCTCCTCAGACCCTTGCTGATGTCCAGATGGCTGAGTTTGATCATTACCTCTTGACCTCGGCTTCCTCTTGCTCCCCTCTTCTCTAGTATAAAAGAAGTTTGAAATCAACCCTTATTTAAGATGGTTCTTTAGGGTATTAGTCTGCCATCTTCTTGGTCTGTTGGCTTTCTTAATAGTCACTCTCCTTGCCCCAACGTCTTGTCTCTCAACTTATGGATGTGTCGTGGGGCGAGAGGCAAGAGCGTGGACTCAGTAACAACGGCATTGGTATAAAACTGAAATAATTGTATTACTTCTGGAGGTTTACTGGTAACATAGCAATCACACTGACTGTTTTTTATGGTGCATGAGTGAAAATTTGTTGTTCACAGTGATGTGTAAACACTGCAGTTTCACTTGCTAAACCCTTCTATTTGGACACATGGCCCATCAACTAGCTTTATTAGTTCTTCTTCAGCAGGTTTAACTCTTACACTTCTCATACTCAACTGTGTCATCATCATGAACGGTAAACATGGACCAACATTCTGTGTGGCTATATTATCAGTATCAGCTCTCTTGAACAAAAGAAATTCAACTCAGTCTGCCATTAAATCTATTTGTTTATTTGTTTGTTTATTGCACCCAAATGTTTTTTTACTGAATACAAAATGAGCACATCAAAAGCATGACCAAACAGTGAAGACAGCACTGGGGCTTTGAACCATAAATGACAAAAATAATCACTGTGACAAAAACATCCATACCTGTATGTTCTACTGCAGAGCTATTCAATTTCTATGCAACACACATATTTTGAATATAACACAGAATTTCCTATTACCCACGGTAGGCTTTGCTATTTTCTAAACTTCACTGAGGCCCATGGCCCAGCTAGCTATTTATCAAGTGCTGGGCAAGCCATGTGAGAGAGTGTGCTTCATTTAATAGTTAGAATGCTCTCCTTAAAGGTATTAATTCCCTTGTTCTGGGAGAGGTCAAGGAGTAAGAATGGGTTTTTAGTTGTCTTTCAGATTAAATATATGTTAGAACTCAGTTCATTACCCATGAGTGTCTCACACAGTACTATAGCAGCAATGGTAGAAGATGAAGGTACTAAGTGGAAATATGCCAAATCCATCCTAGATTAATGTAAGTATTAACAATGATTTTTAACAATAACAACAAACTGGGAATAAATGCTAAGTGAACCAGATAGGTCTCAGGGACTATCAAGTGTAATCTGAGTATTTCCCAGGGAAACCAACATTTGGTCACCCATGATATTGAAATGTTTTTGCCATACAACCACATTTAGAATTGTCACCTGGTGACAGTTCTGTTTGTCCCTACTATTTGGGGCAAACTCCATTATTGTCTCTATAAACTTGAAGTCGGTATAAAGACTGAAGTTCTAGGATGGAGAAAAGCTGAGTCTGACATCTACAAATAGTGCAAGTATCTGGATGGATTGCCAATCACAGTAAAAAGCTAAATAATCTCATTTTTAATCCCTTTACATTTATGCACATTTATGGATCTATTTAATAATCTGGAATTACAATCATAAAATATTCTAATCATACAATAATGAGAAGGTTAAAAAGTACCAAACGTGTTTTAAAGAAAGAAAACACATTAGATGAAAAGAATACTTGAGTATTCAGTTGCTGGCATAATGAAGGAGGTGCGAAAATGGAAAACTATAAACAGTAACACAAAGGTTCCTTTGCCATTGGCATCTGTTACAGCCAGTTATTAATATTATAACCATTTTTCACAGTAGGAATCGTTTCAACTTCCATGTTATATTACAACAAATAATTTGGGAAGTGATTAATGAGATTTTTAATTAGAGATTGAGTTTATCTTAAAACAATCTGTGCCACTACAGCTGGGAAAGATCAGGCTTTAAGTACATCCAGGAAAAACTCCACAGTGAAGCAAAACACATCCATTTCAGGGTGCTCAGAGCTTCCCCATGCCTGGTTCACCTTCACACTTGGCTGCTTAGCTCCATTTTTTGGCACACGATGCTAATGAGGCCATGGTCATGTTTGCACTCCCCATATGTGCCAGTTAGCTTCACTCCGTTCCAGTGCTACAGATTGTTTTCCTAAACTTGAGCTGCCAACTCAAAGACTTCTGCCCTCATTCACCACGGAGATCTGGCCAAGAAGCATGTTAGATTCCTCATACAGTTAAAACTGCTGATAGCTTGGAGATGGGGTAAGGCTTGCTTGGAAAAATCAATGTCATTATAGTCTCCAAAATGGCACATTAATTCAGAGGCTTCCTCTGACTTGATTACTTTCAGTTTTATTTTCTAAAATAATTACCTAAGGAAAGCAGCAAAGAAAAAAAGAACACTTGGATTTTGAAATCTAGATTTTATTTTGATCATTTTTCCACAGTAGCTGTAGGACATTGAAATTACCCAATTAACTTACACTCATTATCCTTATCTGAAAAGTCTGAGTATTGCCTCAGATAATTGCCCATGAGGCGAGCTCTGAGGGTTCCTAATTCCATGACTCAAGATGTCAGGCATCGGAAGCATATTGGGCATGAGACTGAAGGCTGGGAAGGGGACTTGATACATCCTAAAATCTCAAACTGTGTCTCAGGCAGACGGTTACTAGTTGCAAGTTGTCAGGATCTCTTGTTGAGCAAAACTGTGCTCCCATTGACTTACAGGTGCTTCTATTTTGTAGCAGTGGTTTTACCATTTTGTTGCTTGCAGGACATATGCAGCATCAGCCATCAGGCCAGGGGGTGAAACACATGATACTGGTCTTGATGAATTTGCTCACTAACTATCTCTCTTCTGTTTATCCCAGCAGCCTTCTGCCCTCAGCTTGGAACGAATACATGCTTCCTATCAAGTCCTGGCCATTATTTTCCACCGTAAGTGCAGAGTCCTTGTCAGCTGTGCATCACCAAGTAACAGAAGACAAGTGACGTGACAAGACATGTCCCTCCCCAAAATGACTTATTTATTTCTATCCAAAGACAACTTGTTGAGGGAAGTTTGATGTGAAGTCTTTATTTCATATAAAAAAACAAAAACAGAAACAACAAATGTTTCTACTTAAACTAATCAAAACTGGAATAAATAAAACTACATTTAATGTAAGTGTCTATCATAAGGACTTAGTGTTGCTTTTAACCAATATAGACTAAATAGAAATAATAGCTAAAGCAATTCCTGTTGAGGAATATAAATTATTAGACCTAATAAGACACAGTAGCCATTTTTAGTTTATTCATAGTAACTATGATTGGGGAGGATAGACTAGGAATGTTTTTATTTATGAATGAATGAATTTCCATGGCTTGGTTGTTTGTGCAACATAAGTGTTGCATGGACAAAAAATAACAATGTATATACATAATACACATACCTCGTTTGCTTTTTTTCTCTAACACCCTCAGACACACAGACATACACACATACAGGGCATTGTCATCATTTATTCCATTCTTTTATTCCATTTCATTTATATTTACTCCTGGTCATAAGAAAGGGAAGAACCGCGGCTTCATCCTGCTGATTGTGAAACTCGCTTCTCTATTTCAGTGTAGTTCTGTAGGTAGAAGGGAAATAATTAGCATTATAGTCTGGTGTCAAAAATTTAAAATTTTTGTATAAATTTGTGGAAAACATAGCAAAATAATTAAAGGAAATACACCTTCCTTGATGAAGAAGAGGGTTCACGTCCAATTGGGAAATGTGTTTATGAGACCAACCTGGCACATTTCCTGCTACTGAAATTCACTATATATGATGTAGAGCTAGGAAAATATCCTATTTCAATAGCAAATAAAAATGCTACGGAGGTAGTTGTTCTTCCTTAATCTATCTGTTCAAAACTATTACAAATAAATCACAGCGGATATGCTTTTTAGAAGTTGACAAAATATGCTAGCTTTCCTGTGGAAAATGAATTAGTTTGCCATGAAAATCTGGAAGATAAGAATGATAAAGAAACTAGAATGCTAGGTAACAAAATATATTTTGAAGAAATTGTATATAAAATAAATTATAAATAAGTTATGGACTTTTAAAATATATTTTAAAAATAATCTGGTTGACAATAAATCATGTATAGTTTATAAGATATTTTTATGTTTTAGGTATTAAATATCTGAACATTAAACAAAATATTATTATTTCAAAATGTGTTATCAGTATATCAGAATCATAGTATTAAGAGGCTTTTGTTGCTTGAGATCATGTTTATGGAGTGGTTACATGCTTTTTCTTTAGTCTAAAACTGGTCATGAACTTAAGGACCAGGTTTATGTAACTACAAAAGACAATTCTAAAACTGTATCAATACAGTATAATTTGAAATTGAGTAGACATTTAGTTGCAAAGTTAGTAGTGATTTATTTGCATGTTTCTTAAACAAAGCTGGTGCTATACTTTGTGTTCTCTTCAGTAAAATAGCAATTGTGCAGAAGAATTAAGAGAACATATTTGAAACAGCTTCTGCGCTGACATGCTGACTTCTCCAGCCATGGCTCTGAAGTCATTGCAAGGCAGGAGGAACCAATGGTGGGTGATCAATAAATATTGGGGACTACCCATTCTAATAGTCAGCAGTTCACCTTGGTTTTGATAATTGCAGAAATCAAACTTGATCTTGAATATCACTGTGAACAATTGTATGTGCCTCAAAAAAAGTATGCTCAAGGTAGTGTACTTTAAAATTAATTCAGTTAACCAGCAGCTTGATGGGTTTAAAACCAAAATTAGAGAAATGGAAGAAAGGGTATAACTACTGGAGAAACACAGTAGGGAATGTAAGTAGAGTGTGAAAACTGCTGTGGAACAGATTGCTGTTATAATTAGAGACAACATTTCACTCTCCTTTAAATACGAGTCCCTGGAAATTGCTCTGAGTGGAAGAGGGGGAGGCACAGCTGTTTCACTGTGCAGCTGGTAGGAATCACAAAGACCATAGTTAGAAGTAAACTGGTGAAAAAACAAACTGGCTAAGTAGCAGGAACACCTGGCTTGAAACTTAGATGCAAATAAATATTGTTAAGAACTAACATAGTAAAGCCCATCTGAAAGTCTTGATGGCGAGTCAGAAAATGACCTCCTGGTACAAAGTATGGATATAATAATTTTCCCAACTCTTCCTTACAGAAGGAAGTGAAAAGCCTAAATATAAAATAATGACATACCTGAAGATTATATGAATAGGCTTAATCAGAGCTTTCATATTAAATTGCATCCTTTATTTTACATAAATCTTGAGAAATAATGAACTACTTGGTGATTAATCAAGATTCTCTCCTCCATTATCAAGAAAAATCGAATGGGTTTCCAGGAAGGACACACTGAACACCCAATTACTGGGCTCCAGACCTGTTGATGGTCTCTGGAGAACCCCTCTCCTTTTTTGTCTTGCTGCAAAAATGTCAGGTAGATACAAAATAGGGGATACATACTTTTTTGGTGTAGCATTGACTGAAATATCAGAAATAGGAGGATTGCTCATTTTGTTCTCCCAACTTTTAGTATCATCAAATGACATTTACATCAGAATTTTCTTTCTGCTTTCACAGCATACAAAGAATAGTTCTTACAAGTACAGTAGCTGCACAATAGTACAAGCAGACCTAGCCTCTAATTGTCTTAGAGAGGTTGTTGTGATATTTACCAGAAATGAACTGTCCTGAGAGGATTGTTGGAGAGGTGATAAGTGATTGCAAACTGGCCTGAGAACTCACAGGTGGCCTGTGCTTGATCTTCACCGAATCATATTTAAAGGCAACCTGAAGAGGCTGGTGGTAATTGCCTCCAAAACACAGACAGTTTTCATGTTCCTCGCCTGTGCTTCATTTGCCAGGGATGGAAGGGATCATGTAAAGAGAGGCAACCTTTCAGTCAGGAATCCAAATACTCAACCAGCGTTTCTTCGATGCATACCCCATGCTGTCCTCTCTGCTGTTCCATGGTGTCTTTGCACTTTGGCATCATAAGGAAAAGAAGCAAACCTTTTCCTGTAAGTTTGGAAACTTTCTAGTCACATTTTGAGCTATGTTTACTGGATTTGATTTAATCAGCAGTTGCTGATAAATTTGTTGTACAGAGGAGATGCAATGATTCTGATCTCATCTTCTCTGAACTTGCATATAAAATGAATATTTAATGTATCTAAAATTTCATGTTTAAAGAGTCACTCATTCATAAATGAGCCTTGACTACCTCTCCCAAACAGTAAAATGATTCCACTTTTATTTGCAAGAATATGGGGCATAAGAGAAAGAATGAGGCTAAGTTTCTGATTTAAGAAAAAGATATAGCATATAGTGTGAAAACAAGGTGACTCAATTTTTAGAAACAAAAAGTTTTGCTTAAACTTAAGAACTTTTACTCATCTGACAGAGTAGAATTTTAGCTCAATTCCCTAGTTGAAATTCTCTGAAATGTCAAATAATATGATATTATACTCCTTAATAATGCCCCATAATGCTTCAGATGTATTGATCACATTCATAACAATTTATCCAGTAGCTGTATTTCCCATCAGAAAGATGGAAGAGAAAATACCTACTGCTGGCACTCTAAACAGGGCCTGGCACACACTAAATATGAATTAAGTATTCACTGATGTTCATTCATTCACTCATTAACACCACAGACATTTACCAAGCATCGGCCCTCGTGGAGCTTAAATTCTTCAGGAAGAGATCAGACAATATAATTGTGTAAGAGCATTATCCATTTGGTCAGAAGGAGGGAAATATTACAGGAAAAAGGAGAAGTAGAACAGGTTAAGAAGAATTAAGTTTGCTGGCATAGGGATAGAGTAAGACAAGCTTCATAAAGAGAATGTGATCATAAAGAGCAAATCTGAAGAAGGTAAGCTAGTTTCTCACTCAAATTTCTAATGGAAAACTGTCCCAAGCTGAGAAAAAGCAGGATAACTTCTGGTATGTTCAAGGAACAGAAATTACCTTTGTTTAAACATTATCAAGAATTTAGATGTATTTTTATTTATCTCTTCCTCCTAAGGAGCCTTTATATATATATATATATATTTTGTGAACCTATATATATATCCCCTTTCAGACTGGCTTTACAGCTCACGCAAGAATTATTTTCACAGTTACGAAGACAGGAACCCAAATGCTATCTTTTGACACCACAAATCTGTTTTCCAACAGAGACTTTCACTATGTCCACCTGAAACGACCACCACAGGGAAAATAGAGTGGAGGCGTAATAGAGCTTAAAACCAACTTTATTAAATTGAATTTCTCCAGAATTGAGCCGACATCTCACATCTTCTACAGCCTTCAGATAAACACTTCGAAAGACATATTTTAATAACCATTTACACACACAAGGACAGCTGTTCAGTTGGTCTGAGAGAGGATGAAAAATTGCCTATGTCATCTGCCAGAGCAGATAGTAAATTACCTTGGCCTACAGAAACTTTTTATTTACCTAGAAGGTATCTATTTTCCCACTCTGAGGTGTTGGAAAAACAATGGCCAAAGCTTCCTATGACAGAAAATATATCAATGAAAACTCAACATCACTTTATTCTTTTACTATATACTCTGTTACTAGTGGCTACACTTTGTATGACAGAACATCAATGAAAACTCAGCATCGCTGTCATCTTTTACTATATCCTCTTACTATATCTTTTGTGCTTATTAATACTGTATTGGAAGGATTTGATAGTTTTCTTACTATGCATTTCTTTAATATTTTACAAAATGTATCCAATCACCTAATTCACATAAATTTAAATTACATTCTCCCTGAGGTTTGCTTAATGTATCCACTACATGCTGCCTTTCTAATAATTTTTTAAGATGTTTCAGTATAATCGATCTATTGATCTTTGTTAATGTACTGAAAAATAATTAATTGAAAGTATTATTTTACTACTTGTCTTGCCAATGGGTTTCAGCCCCGGGCAAATTCGCTATGGATTCAATATGACCAAAGAAATGACAGTAGAATATTCTTGGGGTGAAAGGGTTATACCCAACTTTATTTCCACCGTAGCAGGTCAATCACTAAAATCCCGTTCACTCAGAGTGAGTCTGCATGCAGTGAGCCGGTCTCTGC